TGCAGTATTCGGATTTCTTAGCAGTTGTTTGAACCTTTCGCGATCCATTTAAATTTACAGGTGTTACACGAAAAGTGGAGCTGTGCAACTTAAGTGACATTAATAGGCGTATTGTTTCTTGAGCACCGTAATCTCTTTCACCAAGTGTTTTTATCATTACGCTCTTAACAGCTTTAGCAGCGTCAGAAATTGTATCTTTACTACAGACAACACGAGTGAACGCATCATTAAGAATAAATGCACTATCCCAGTATTTAAGTCATAATGATAAAAGGCTAAAAGCCTATAGTGAAGTATATCGTTTAACAATATGAATAAAATATCGAATAAATAGGAACTCGACGGTAAAAAACTCACCAAAATACCTTATACCTCTAATACTTCGCAGTACTATAATATGTAGCCAATTACGTAAATTTCGCCTTCTGTCTAAAATATCAACCTATAAAATATAAAAGAACAGTTAAATATGAATAAAACATTGAATAAATATGAACTTAATTACAAAAAAACTCACCGAAATAGTTTTCCTTCTTCGAAATAAATTCGCCAAAGTTTATGCAGCCAACACGTGGAATGGTATAACCTGACACCGAACTCCAACATGCAATGCGTCAAAAATTTTCATCGCAGGTGACAAGAGTATTATGTTTCGTTTATATCGAAAATCTACTGCAGGGGCGGATCTAGGGGTAGTCACACCGATCACGCGACTAACGTAAAAATTTCGCACTAATTAAATGCAGTGAGATTATATTTTTCAGATCGCAGTCCTGTTGTAAATTTGTACAGTTGCATAATAATTTTTGCGCTTATGAAATTAAATAAACACTGATCTCGTTCGATTCCCTTGCTCCTGAATGCAGACTTGCGCAATATTTTCATTCGTTTCTATGGAGACAAAAATTCTGCTCGTTCTGGAGGTTTGGTCTGCTCGTTTTGGAGGTTGGTTAGGGGCGTTTCTCATCAATCTGATTGGCCCATTCGGTAGTTTCCATGGAGACAAAAATTCTGCTCGTTTTGGGGGTTTGGTCTGCTCTTTCTGGAGGTGTGCCTGTGAGCTTTCGTTTTGAGCTTTCCGGATGACTTCATGCAGAGAAAGCTTTTGCAGTCGAATACAGTTCTTTGCAACGGACGCTATTTGTGGCACTGATAACCATTGCTGAGAACATGTTGTCGAGTAATTTTGCTATGGAGGTTTGTTTTCATAATATACTCGTTTGCGTAACGAATTGAGAAGTGTAATGTCGAGTGTTCTACGCGAAGGTAAATTTAATATTCACTCTATGTTCATGTTTATTTAAACTATTCTCCGATAATACTATAAGTTAATATATACTATAAACCGAACGATAACATAAGCTGTATATTTCACTTGGACTTTGAAGCTGCCTTTATTAGCATTTATTTGCATTCGCCCGCCGCCGGTCAAATGTCATAAAATTATATTAATATTCAGAATTTGGAGCCGTTCATATTCTCATTTGTTGTATTTGTTTATTCATATTAGCTGAGCGTGAGCTGGTGTGTTATATCTGTATTATTTAAAAGTGTGATAGATTTTGAATACGAATATTTGTAAAATCATGTTATGTCTGTATGTTTATATGTCTGCACCGTAGAAATAATATCCAGACATGTTTAATAGTATTATATATTAATGCTTGTTATGTGGCCCGCGTGTTTCTGCTATAAACTTATAAAGCAATTTTGCTTTGACCAAGCTCAATACAATAAAGGTGTGATTTATATCGAATCAGCTAGTAAACTGTGAAATACAACTAATTTCATCAATCTAGGGGGGGGGGGGATTCTTCTTACTCTGTAAACGTAGTCATTGACCTGCGAAAATTATGACGTAAACGTATAACGTAAAAAAAATCCTAGATCCGCCCCTGATCTACTGGCACCCTAATACGCTAATACAATGTTCCAAAACACGTTTTCACCTTTATTCACAATATAAATTAACATACCATACACGTGGTATCACGCACCGCACCGCGCAAGGTGAAAATCGTAGCCCTCCCCGAAATACATGAAAGAATTTCACAAACGTGTAACAATAAGGTCGTCAAATTGCTGTTCGTCTGCTAAAATACAAAAGAAATATCCTACATTGTGTTCAGGTGAATGTTAATTATTTCTCTCTTACGCTACATAACATATGCTCTCAGCGTGTCAACTATGGCCGGAACTTAAATTCAGCCACCCCCAAAATAAAATATGTTCCTCCATCCCTGCCACTGGTACCATCATGCAATGCGCCAAAGACAAATTTTGATTTGCACCCCCATTTCTAAATTAGGATCTGCTGCCTTGCTCGCTCGCTTCAGGCTCCCTCGCTGCGGCAGCAATTATTTATCAAAAGGCGCAATATGCGAGTTCCTATTGTGACGTATTAGTTACCAGTTTCCGACTGTCGCGGATTTCAAAAACTTTTGCCGTTAAAATTTGAAATTTTCAAACTTTATCGCTTTATTTCTCCGCGAAAACAAACTCAATTTCAAATGTGATTACTATTTTCGTAATCTACGTTTCACGGCAATTCTAATGAGATAAATTCCAATTTTATGACATGGGCACTTTAAGAGATTGAAGTTTTTTTATGTGTTTTTTTATTGATATATTATTTGTATACAGTAATATACTTGCTAACCTTGTATATATTTTATACATAAGAGATCATTGACATTTTTAGTGCAAAGTTTGAGAAACTTTGCAGTATTGTGATGAGTGGCCGAAAATTTAAACGAGTCAGTAAGTCAGTCAGACAGTCAGTCAGTCAGTCAGACAGTCAGTCAGTCGACTATAGTCAGTCAGTCAGTCAGTCATACTCATAGTGTAAACTTTACGGGGGGTAGCTTGATTTATACGTATAGTAACTTTTTGTATATGATCAGTAATTTAAGGTTTTTAAATCCGTTTAACTTGCTTTATTTATTAATGTACTATACCCCTTTTGCAAAGTTCACCAAAATATTGAGGGATTTTGGCGGTTACTGTAAATTTTGAAGCATTGCTTTTCCCGCGGTTTGGGTTATGTTTTAAAGGGATTTGGGCAGAATTACCCCCCGGAACACCCGATTCTTTCTTACACGTCGCAACTGCGCATGTGCCGTCGAGACGTGAACATGATTCACGATGTAAAGAAACGAGGAGCAACGAGCATTGCTTCAAAACATTCCGGGCGTAAAAATGGAGCAATTCTTTGAGAATCTACGCACTTTATCAACTTATGTTATGAATTATGAGCATTCAATTCAACACAAATATAATTTGGAAGGTTTATTCCATAAATAGAGCTAAGAGGTCAGGAAGAAACGACGCTGTGTTGTTTATGTATTGATAGATCTCTTAGGCCCTGTTCATATGAGCCGGGCTGGCCCGCTTTGCCGGGCTAGCTCGCTTTGCCGGGCTGGTTTATTTTCTTATTCACATGAGGCGGGCTAGCCCGGTAGCGTTACATCATTTGTTGATGCTTCACAAATCGAAAAATGTTGCTTGCATTGATTACAGTGGTTTTGGGCAGATATATTTCGTTAATTTTTGAAATGTATTGTGTTCTTTTGGTTTGCAAATACATATAAAATGGCGAAATGATGCTATGAAGGTATATTTGTAAAGAAAGCGATCGACGATTTTCAGCCCGGTTTACCGGGCTAGCCCGCCTAGTGCGTTCATATGAGCCCGTTTTGCCGAGATCTCGCCTCGCTTTAGCGAGATCTCGCCAAAGCGGGCTGGCCCGCTTTCCATGTGAATCAAATTTCAAAAACATATAGAAAAACTTAGGAAGCGGGATCTCGCCTCTAGCGAGTCAGCCCGGCGAAGCGGGCCAGCCCGGCTCATATGAACAGGGCCTTACACGAATGTATATTATGTCGATAGCAAGTCGATACCTGATATTCTGCATACAGTACATAAATGATACTATACAAAACGGACATTTTGTGCAGTAATCAAATCATTTTGGCGGTATACAGTATTGATTAGTAGTATTGTTTTGTATCGATTTACGCGTCGAAGTATCCACATCATATACATAATATGCACCGCGGTTTATTTACATTATTTACAACGCAACTATTTTGGCTATTCTTATGAAATGACGGATATATTGTTGCCATCATATAAATGTAGTGAATGTAGTCACAGTTGTTTGACGAAGAAAAGAAACTAAACTGAGAAAATCGCACCCGGTTAGGCCGGTTTACATGGGCAACTAAAATTAGCTATAATTTAATAGTGACAGTATCCGCGGCTAACGTAATTTGAGTACTTTGAGTAATTTCCTTTTGATTAATGTTTAACCTAGCTCGTTATATTTTTACTGGTATAAGTCAAAATGTCTATGTTGGGACAAACGTCTGGTTGCTCAGGTGTTACAGGGCATGAAAACTTTGCACTACACGGCCAAAAATTGATCAGGTTGTCACATCAGGAGTGAACAATGTTGTGCTGCACCCTGGAAACAGAATTGTTAACAATGTTGTTGAACCTTGTTAATCATCAATGTTGATGCAATATTGTTGTAACAAGTTGCAACAACATTGATGATTCAACAAGCTTCAATAACATTGTTAACAATACTGTTCACAGGGTGCAGCACAACATTGTTCACTACTGTTTTTAACAACTGGAATCAACATGATGATTTTTACGCGTGTATCCTTGGATCCCTAGTTTAATTATGAGTGCGTCCGCTACTTCATGTAATGCTAATTTTAACGGATCAAAATGCTAATTGTGGATTAATGTCATAAAAAAACAAATTTTCGGGTAACCTATGCGCATACTTGTGAAGATTTGGTGTTCCATTTAACTCACTGAATTTGGTTATCCTTTTCCCTGAGTAGCTGGTATAAGGAACGTAGTATGCTTGTAAATTTTTTGAATACGTTTGACAAAGACTTTTTTAAAGTAGAGCCGAAGTAATATCTGAATATTGTGTCCTGTTTTTATCAGAACAATCTCCCGACCATTACCTTCTCTGATTTCAGGGATTTCCAATTTAAAGATCACTTTAATGGATCCAATAAAAAGCAAAGCTAATTATTCCCGGGTTTGTCAACTGTTGGTAGATAAAGGAGGAGATGCTTTGAGACTTTCTTTGAGAGATGCTTTACATTCGATGCATCCACCTTCCTCCTTGGCCTCTGCATTGAAGGCCAACAAGAAGACCCTGCAGAGAATGCGATACGATATAATTAAAGCCCCGCAATGGGATCTACTCTTCCCAATATCTGGTACACCAGATTCAAACAAATTCGATATCACCTTACTGACTGTCCTACTTCGAAATATTTGTGGATTGTCTCCACCAGCGACTGGGTGGAATGTTATGCCTCCAGTTAGTGATACATCTATATCAGCAAACATTTTGAGAGTCAAAATGTTCAGGAATGAAGTGTATGGTCATATTCCAACTGTAGGTTTGGACGACACAACGTTTGAAAAATTGTGGCGAGAAATTTCGGTACCGTTGGTCAACTTGGGAATTTCTCAAGAGGATATTGATGAGTTGAAAGTAGCTCCTCTCAGCCCTGAAGAAGTAAGTTATATTAACAGTTTAAAAGAATGGAAAAAACTAGACGATGACTTAAGTAATGTTAAAATAGAATTAGGTGATGTTAAAACAGAATTAGGTGATGTTAAAAGTGAAGTAGTGAAGCTAAGAAAAACAGCAGATGAGAATGTTCATCAATCAACTGTCGAGAAACTCGCTAAATTTGACTTTACTGGAAAGATTGACGACCTTTGTAAAAAATTTCATGAAGGAACTAGAAAATGGTTGTTTGATAAACTCTCAAATTGGTTTGTGAGTAAAGAAACCAGGGTTATGATCCTAACTGCAGGTCCAGGCGCTGGAAAAAGTGTTTTATCTGGAAAGATTTCTGAGCTGTATAGAGGACGTGACCAACTCGCAGCTCACCATTTCTGCGACTTTCGAAATTCTGATTACAGCAATCCTCACAGAATCCTCCAGTCCCTTTCCAGCCAAATGTGTGAGAATGTTGATGGATTCCGTGATAAACTAACCGAAATCCTTCGTCGTGAAAATTCTCGGGTCTCGCTGCCAGACGCATTTCGTGTTCTTTTAAACGATCCACTACACTCTCTTCGCCGAAATGATCCAATGTTGATCATTGTTGATGCCTTGGACGAGAGCAAAACTGATATGAAGAGCGAATTTTTGGAGTTGATATCTGAGAAATTTTGTGAACTGCCGGATTGGATTAAGATATTCATTTCGAGCAGACCGGAGCTACAAGTACGGAAGGTACTTCAACATTTACAGCCGTTAGAAATCCGTCCTGATGATGAAGATCACAATCAAGATATTGCGCTTTTTATTCGTCGTGATTTACCTAATCTTGATGATGATAGTTTAAGGTTAGTTATTTTGAAGTGTGAGGGATCGTTTTTGTACGCTTATCACTTAGTTCGTGAATTAAGAGAAAAGGGCTTGGGAATTGAACCCGACTTAAGTGATTTCATCCCCAATGGTATTGCCGGATATTACGAAAAACAGTTCAAACGTTTGAAAAGCCGCCTCCAAAGTGAAAAGCCAGATACCTTTTCCTCTATCTTAAAAAGTTTTATCAATGTTATTGCCGCTGCATTCATGCCTTTCCCATTGAAAATTCTTTTTACATGCATGGGTCTTCCCTGGGAAGAATTCGAAACACGCACAGCGATTATGAACATTATGTCAGAAATTCTTCCAGTTTATGATGGTTGCCTGACTCTTTATCATAAGTCATTATGGGATTGGATGACGTTGATTGGGTATGAGGAACATGCGTTTGTTGCAGATGTTAAAGACGGAAATGGACGTCTTTGGCGTGCTTGTGAGAAGGAATTCTATCAGATAGATTCTTTAAAGTCCGTTTTAGAATTTAAACTTTCTCTCGAGAATGAGTACGCTTTGGAAAATGGTTTAAGATATTTGATAATAACAGGTAATGTGGAGGAATTTCACTGGTTGGTGCATGTTGGCGTAAACTATTTACGACTAAAATTTTGTGATCACGACCGCGATATTGATTTGAACAAAGTCCTTGACAAGTATGGTAGTGTTCTTTCCAAAGATATTTATTACCGCATCATTCAACTGCATTCTTTCGTAGGAAATGAACGAGATCTGAATTCAAGGGGAACAGGACCTGCAGCAAATTGTGACGATTATTTGAAAATTCTTGCAAACGGATACTTTGATTTTTCACAAAGTAATGTCTGTCCTAAAAATGTTGCTAGAAATATCTTGCATTCAATAAATGAGATTTGGATAGAACGTGAGGGAAATGAAGAGAAACATAATTTAATCTGTGTCTTGCCAGTTGATTCAATCATCAGTTCTCTGTCACCAGACAATACAATGTTTGCCCTCTTTAGTACTCACACATGGACAGTGCAAGTGCTTAAAATACCAAGCCTCGCGACTCTTTTCAAAATACAAGTAGATGAGATACACGTATTTGACGCCTTCTTTATCTTTTCTCCTGATTCGTCCTATTTGTTATGCAATTCAATTCGGTCATGCGTCCTTGTTAAGGAACAAAAGGAAGTACCCTTCATTGCACACGGCCGCGACGACATTAAGAGTTGTTCTTTTTCTTCGTGTGGAATGAAACTTGCTACATTGCTTTACTTGCAGCCATTCATCCAAGTGTGGGATGTAATGAGGAAAACGCTATTAGCAGAAGTTGACATTTTTGATCATGGATTTAGGTATTGTGTTTTTAGTTTGTGTGACTCCTACATTCTCCTTTTGGGTTTTGTTTCATCGGAATCATCAATATATTATACGAATGTCTTTCGCTCTGAGAATTTGGAAAGAGTGTTTACTGAAGAGAATTCTGTTGCGCCGTGTTTGTCAAGTAAAGATTCCATTCAGATTTGTTCACCGGATATCTTTGATCCTGACGAACCATCCGGTAGGATTAGCTTTGATCATGTTTGCTTGCCATCTGGTGAGATAGTCCTCCTTTCTAATAAAAGATGTTCAAAAACCTTTTTATGGAAGGGAAAAAAGTGTGTAGCATTTCACGATTATTCTTCCGAAGGTGCTGTAGCTCTGATAATATACGATTTTGTAAACCAAGAGATAATTGACGTCCTTCAGATTGATTGTTTGCCTGTTGGATGTGTTTTCAATCATATTTCAAAATTAGAAGGGACGAAATTCTTTCTAAGTTTGTATCCAAACTTAGTATTCATTATATCTCTGGAATCTCCTGATGCTTCTTTTGTCGATAACAGCGAAATAGATTGCTGTGCATTATCTCCGGACACCTTGTATGTAGCGTGCTGTTTTGAAAATTGTATTCTTTCAATAAGAAGTATCGACAGTGGGGAAACATTGCAAACTGTTGCACTGAAACAACGAGCAGTGGCGTGCTGGTGGTCTGAGTCGTATCTTTGGTTGGTTTCTGATGGCGTGGTTGTTAAATATCCTTATGAACCTTTGAATTCAAATATCTTAGGAAATCAAACTGAAGAATCTTTTTTAAATTTTAGTCATGTTGTTAAGTTTACAAAAGGTGTTCTTGTAATTAGCACTAATGGAAGAATTTCTATTTTGAAAATTTGTGGTGAAGATCTCAGTCTTCAAGAAATACCTTCTTGGAATTTTGACGAGGCCCATAGTGAAAAGTTCACTTCTGTCGCAATAAGTTATGATGGGTGTGCCGTTATGTTACATTGCAATTTGAGGAAAATTTATGAATTGTGGGAAATAGAATGTGGCAACAGATGGTTTGTACGTTCAACGGGACAGTTGAATGAATCAGTTGAATGGTTCTTTTTAACTGGTACTAATATGACTCGTAATTTAGTATTAGTGTCATCCGACAATCCATTAATTCCCCGTGATAATTTTGTTTTACGTTCTATTACGTTTCAAAGAAATGGTATAAAAATTGCGCATACTCTTCCTATTGGACCTTTTCAGAAGGCTTTTTACATGGATGCCGAAATTGTAGGTCTTTTCAGTAGTGGTATGATGCATTTTGTTAATGTGTCCGAAGGCAGAATCATATCCTCTGCATATCTACCTATTGAGTCTCCCAATGAACATTTTCATTTTTTCCTCCCATCGACTTGTTCCTTTCTATCCGTCGGGAGATATGGTAACAAACGTTTTAGAGTTCATAACTTTAAAAAGTATTTATCGCTTCCTTTGCGTAATGATCCTGGAAAATGCGACTTTCTGTCTTAGATGAGAAAATATCATGAATCAATAATTAATACTAAAAAAATCATTTATCGATAGAAAATGTTCAGGTAGATAAGTATTGCCAATTAAACTTACAGATAATAACCCACAACTTAATTTGAATAAACGACGTAATATTAGGGACAAACCATCAGATGTGTCAAATGTTTGAACTGTGCCGATTTTGTTAAAAGAAATAAAAAAATCCATTTTTGACTAAATCTTGTATCGTCTTTATAGCATAAGAGTCGATTGATTCAAATATTTGCTGCGAAGTTACTTGTGGTAAGCGTGCAAATACACAGCTAATTCAAGAAACGGTTTCCATACACATACATGTGACGTCGCCAGCTCGTTATAGGTCGGTTGGAGGATACTCGTGTATTTGTTCTACATATAGTCCTAACACAAATACATTGCTCTAGCGGTCAATGAACATGCATGGATATATAAATGTGCATGCTCTTTAATAATGGTGGTACGTCACTGGTTATATAAAATTCAAAACGCAAACTAACTAAAACAATTTCTCTCCGATTGTTTCATGGAAAATTATATGTGCACGCGTAAATAAGTCTGCGTATGCACAACATACCTGGACCATGAATCTTTGCACACCTATAACCAAATATTCTGATGTTTAAAGTTTTAACTTCCTGGGCACTTTTTTTTCTTGAGTTGGCTGTTTACGGCGATTTCTTGCATATATAACTTGGTGTACTCTGAGCAATTTCGTAATAATTAAAATGATCGTTACCTGAGCAAATACTTTTCTTAGCATTGGATAATGAAGGGCAATATATTCATCAATTAAAAACCTTAATTTTAGGCTATCTGATGTCGTTACTATAGTTAATCTCACGCGTAAGGCCCAATTACACTATACGGGGTCGCTATTGAATACAGTCAAATTTTTTAGCTACTAAAAGGCTGTGAATATTTTTTATGTCTGATCCAAAAAAATCTACCAAATCTATCAAACCAACGAGCTTTTACTACCAAACATTTCTTGTTAACGGCAAACGAAAGTGTCGTGAGCAGCTAATCCTGTGTCGTGCAATGTGGGCCTTAGTCACATAAAATTACTGTTACTTGTATATCTGCACAGTACTGTAAGTTTGTGCAGTTCTGATTTCATCCTGGAAATCTTGAGGCTATAGATCATATTTAATCCCAGGTCATATATGGTGGCCAATTTATACCACTTTCGGTATACTCATTTTAATAATTGTGTTTGTTTGAAAATTATTGTTTAAGAATAAAAATTGTTTATTATTGGCTACTTTTCGGACATATTTTATGCTTGTCTTCAGATTTAAAAAATGAAGTTAGAGTTAAGTTTGAAGGCGATTAGATAAACTGCAGAGACTTTCGTGTATTCCTATATTTATTTAATCAGTTAAAAACAAAGCAAAAATACCAAGTGAACGAGGGAAGACAAAAACCTTCGAAACGAGGATGGTCGAATATGATTTGGTTGAACCAAGTTTCTCCAGATACTGTCAGAGATAAACTTTCTTAAGGCCCGTTCACACGATCCAACTGTCTGATCCAATTCATTTCTGACGTATGGAATATAGTTGGTTATTGATAAAGCGGTAGTGCTTGACTTTAGTTAATTTGTTGTCCACATACTTTGCAAGTTAACAGACTATAAAACATCCATCAGAAGTGAATTTAATGCGACAAAATTGCATGGATCGTGTGAACAGACCTTGAGGAAGCTTTAGAGGGTACATAAAAAGAAAATACCATTGAAAAGTAATAATTTTTACCAGAATTATTTCGATTTAATTAACTGGTAATCTTTTCTTATTAGTAGAAGAGCTTCACCCAGCAACAATATCAAAATACTTAATAATTACAAATATTTTGGTTATTAATGTTTTTTTTTAACTTTTAACTTTTTCTTATTACTTGTAAATCCACATCTGTCGTATGTATCTAAACACGTCGTAGTCCGAGAGTCAACCTTTTTAAGATTGTATAAATCTTATTCACTCTCTTTGATTTTAGAGAATTTAGAACTATGGTTAGGATTATGAGTGTGTAGCTTAGCATTAAATGAATTAAAATAAAAAATAACTAAATGCGTTAATGATTGTCTTTGCGTTTGTTATAAAAAAATTTCAAAGAGGAAAGATGCTTCGAAGAACAAACCTTCGCGCGGCTGTACGTCAAGATAATTCTGCTACTCTGCTACATCAACGCAGCGTTTAACAAATAGCTCGGTCTAGTGCTGCATAACCAATACCCTCGTTCTTCAGTTTTGTCTTTTAGCATGCCTGCTACCAGACCTAGTAGCTAGTACGAGAATTCAAAGACGCGCCCACGTCAACCTTCGCGGCGCGTAACGACAGCAGCAAGGTCGAGGGCGACAATTCAGTCCACTGACATCAGGCAAGTCAGCAACAAAAAGTATAACAGTTAGTGTAACATAAACAATTGTTTACGTAAGAAGAATTCCATGGTTAAAAGTTTGAAAATAATTGTATCTTTGTTACAATTTATTTCTTATACTTGAAATACATGCATGCAGCAACCCCTCGCCATTTCAAACGAAGCAAAATATTTCCTGAGTTAACCAGAGCTAAACCTCTAAGCTTATAGTATGAAATGACTTAAATATATAGGCCGATATAGCTGATGTTTCAAATTTTTTGCAAGTAAACATGCAAAACATATAAAAGGTGAAGTGAAATCCTGCTGCGTTAACTATGTTGCATGGAGTTTATAGACAGTCACAGTTTAGGCCTGGTACACACTTGTCCTAGGAATCTGGGATTCCCTTTGTCTATTGTCCCTGGTGCACAAAATGCTTTGTCTATCGAAAAGTAATACAATGGATCCCCGATTTTTAGAAGCTAGTGTGAACCAGGCCTTAAGTGCATGAGAGTTAATACTTCGCTATAGCTAAACCTTCAAAACAGTACAAATAATTTACATTTGCCCACTCCCCAAACACTAAACGTCGAATGTTGTTTTTCGATTATTGAGTTCATGCAGTGATTGCAGTCGACTCTATAAAAACTTTAAAGTGATATTTGTTATATCAAAACTACGAATTACACTTTCAAGAACTCGTTTTGACGCCTACAACTTCAAGGATTATAAACAGCGAGTCGTTCCTTTTGACCGCTAGTATTGAATTTTTAATCTTTTTCCGGTGTTTTTATCTCATTTCATTTTGTTTGATTCCACATTTCATATTGTGTTTATGAAAATTTCATATTGTGTTTCGAAAATGACATTTTTATGCTTGTCTTCAGATTTAAAAAATGAAGTTAGAGTTAAGTTTGAAGGCGATTAGATAAACTGCAGAGACTTTCGTGTATTCCTATATTCATTTAATCAGTTAAAAACAAAGCAAAAATAAAAAGTGAACGGACAAAGACAAAAACCTTCGAAACGAGGATGGTCGAATATGATTTGGTTGAACCAAGCTTCCCCAGATACTGTCAGAAATTTCTTAAGGCCCATTTACACGATCCAACTGTCGGATCCAATTCACTTCTGACGTATGGAATGTAATTGGTTATTGATAGCAACAATACAAAAGCAGCGAATACAAAATTGCTCTTTATTGCTCCCCACGTTATATCGTCGTAATCATTTATCAAATATCGGTTGTATTATGGTGCAAACACATTGTGCTTCTTCAGCCTCGTACCCAGGCGCTTTGATAATAAAATATCTAATGTTGCATTCAGTTATTGTATACATGTCAGTTGAAAAAAGGCGAGCGCGCAGGGATGTTTGGGGTGATCTCGAGGAAGGAAGCTTCTTTCTTCCGTTGCGTCCACCTCAAGTACCCCTGCGCACTCACCTATATATATATATATATATATAAATTATATATATATATATATATATATATATATATATAATATATATATATATATATATATATATATATATACACCCATTTGCAAAAACGTTGGCCGCAGATAGATAGATAGATAGATACTCGAAGTCTAATTAGAATTGAATATGATTACATTTGCATGGGATTTCAATCATATTACACAACATATGCAATTCTAATTAGATTCTGGGTATCTATCTATATATCTATCTGCGGCCAACGTTTTTGCAAACGGGTGTATATATATATATATTATTTTGTTCATTTACGTCTTGTTTCTTTATTATTATTAATCTTGTTTACCTTACTATAACATTTAAGAAATTTTCACGATAGATTTCCAACGATTTCCCATAAAATTAACGTATGCAGTACAATCACGTGATCGATATTTAGGTATTTATATATAATATTTCCAGGTGACAACCTTAATGGTAACGACTGTATATATATATATATATATATATATATATATATTAATATATATATATATATATATATATATATATATATATACACCCATTTGCAAAAACGTTGGCCGCAGATAGATAGATAGATAGATACTCGAAGTCTAATTAGAATTGCATATGAATGCATTTGCATGGGATTTCAATCATATTACACAACAGATGCAATTCTAATTAGATTTCGGGTATCTATCTATATATCTATCTGCGGCCAACGTTTTTGCAAACGGGTGTATATATATATATATATATATATATATATATATATATAATTATATATATATATATATATAAAACGCAACCACTTAAATATGCAAGAACATTAATATTGTTCGGGTTTGCACCATAGTTCAGCTAAAATGACTTTTAGCATTTTCCATTTTCAAATCCCAGAGGTATAATATAATTTTTAAAATCGACCCAAAGCGCGTTTACGGTTTTTGAAAATACATATTAACTTCTTAGGACCAGTTTATAGGTCGCATTTTGGTCGCATCGAATGCAATTCAAACACTAGATATTAAGATTTAAACCTCATTACCATCTAATTATCTATTGTTATCTAAACTGGGCGTTCAGTTCATACGTCGCATTATATTCTGGTGCTGTCTTTCAGGAGCTACCCACATTGATTACCATTGCCGGAAAGAGTTCCATCGTCAATTTACGTCAAATAGAACGTCCCATTGCAACGCCCACAACAACACTTCCGTTAAACGCTCAACCTGAATCGGCTGTAACAATACACCAGCTATATACCTCGGTTATGTACTCGTTGTTCTTCAAAAATTTCTTGTTTTTATAATTCTTATCTCCGAAGTGTAACATTCAGGAATAAACAAAGGTATTACTGTGTTCAAATTGTATTTAAATATCAAGGTATTTGTCAGTGTAGGTGTTATAATTATTAGTATATTAGACATTACTAATGTGGAACGTAGGAGGCTGTGATGCTATTGTAGTGTTATTTCATCTTTGAGCTGTTTCATCTGCCTTTAATTGTTCATTTGGGAATAAGACAAGTTTTTTTACAATATTAATGCTGTTTAAACCTCTCTCGTGAAGAATTA